AAAAGAAAGGCATAAGTTCCTCTTGTAAAGAACTCTCGTCTGATAACAAAACAGCTACACTGAACATAATAGCATCTTTGTTACGGGAATTCCATAGAACTTTGCTGAGCTCCTTCGTGAACGCTGGTCTAAGCCTCAGAATTGGTCTCTACACTGACATGGTTGCTAGCCTGCACCACAAATGTCTTTGGTCCAAATGCAATAGGAAAGTATAAATTCAGATAACTAAAGATCTTATAATGCAAGAAGAAAGGAGCTTCTAACCTGCAAAACAATGGTCTTAAAGTTTCCTTAAGAGAAGAATTACTTATTTTAACATGCATAATCCCTGGTCCTATCCCCTTATATCTGAGGAATTCTTATGTTCTTCTGATGTAGATGGACAGTAGACACCCTTGAAGAAGCTCTGTTTCAAATGTTGGGAAATGAAACACTTTCATTTTATAATTTAGTGTGCAAGAAAATTCCATTTATACAAGACATGAGAATTTAATGACGATTTAGGAAAGTATATTTAGAACTTTCTTTTTCTATCTTAAAAACAATCTTGCTCTTGTTACTATGAGCAATGTAGGAACATTTCTATAGAAAAGTCACTGTGTAAAGAAGAATACATTTCTTCTCTTGGCTCTTTGTTATGGAAAGATTTGACATGGTGGGGCTTAGTTCTCTAAGAGGAAGCTTGCTTTGTTAATATAAATGCTTCTGTGTTCTTGTGCCGTGATCTGTTTTCTACTAATAAAACCTTCTATTCCAGGGCTTTTCATTTACTTGGGTTCCTCTTTAGAGTCCAAAATGGGGGACTTCAGTTGGGATTTCTGAATGTGTTACTGCATGTTGCAAGTGTGGGAATGTTTCCAATTTTGTACATGAGCTCGGGGGGTGTTTTCCATATCTAAACTGTATTAAATGCATCTTATGTGATTCACACAGGTACAAATTGTTACTAAGAAGATAGACTTAAGCCATGTGACATCCAAATGTGGCTCTCTAAAGAACATCCGTCACAGGCCAGGTAAAAAATATGTTTTTTTAATAATTTAAGAACACTTAATTGGGTTCAAGAAGTTGTCAAAAAAAAAATTGTGTGTTTTGTTTTGTTTTGTTTTGTTTTGTTTTGTTTTGTTTTGAGACAGGTCCTCCCTGTAGCCCCAGTTGGCCTGGAACTCCCTAGGCAGCCCAGCTGGCCTCAATCTCACAGGGATCCAACTGCCTCTATCTCCCAAGTGCTGGGATAAAGGCATGTGCTGCCATGCCTAGTCAAAATTTTTTATGTTGTTGTAAAATACCTAATTGGAAACATGTTTCAAGCTCCTGATATTTCATATTTTTATGAATAGGAACTCAAGTTAGAAATGTTTAAGCATCTTCCTCTGGGATAAGGGAGCCTATTTACCCTGAATAGACCATGTATTATAGAATAGGCATGAATTTTGGAACTCTGTCAAAGTATGTAGTCTACAAAATAAATTGAGTCTTATAGCCAAACATAGTAACCGTGATTGAAAACAGTAATTCCAAATATTTTTAATGAAATTGTGTTCTCTACAGCATATAAAATAGGATCATGGACTGCAGCTGGAGAAACTCGATCATCTGATTCATTTCTCCAACTCTTTCTTGGGTAAATAAGCACTGGGAATCCACAGCAAAATGCAACATGCCCCCAACTTTTTTGACACTAGACCTTTTTTTCCTTTTTAGAGATCTCATAGAACCAGTGCTCTAAAGTAGAATTTGCACTTTTGCTTTCTATGGTGGGTTCTTCAATAAGTCTGAACCTGTCACTGCTTTTCTGAGCATCATACATTGTTTAATTTTGCTAAATTCCACCTCCATCCATAGGTAATAATATATCTGTCAAATTTGTAATATTCTTGAGGATATTTTTTTACAATTTGTACCTACCATTAGGTTATAGAAGGACAAAAATAGTTGACTTTAACTGTCTATGTTTGGCATTTAAACATATAAACCAAATGTAGTTTTAAGATTATATCATCTCAATTTTGTCAAAAATCAGGTACAGCAGTAATTGAGCTAAGACTTCTAGACAGGAAATTATTAAGGATTTTAAGTAGAATAAGTCTGAGAACGGATACAGTCATTGGAAATATCTTGGAATTAGTTTTCATTGTTTCGGAAGGGTGGTTATGAAGCACATCTAGGAAGCAGAGCCTTCGTATGTGGAGTTCACATCACTGACTGCAGAACTGCCCCAGAAGAACTGTCTCCTCTGCTAGTCCTGAGATGGCAGGGGTGTGCATCTCACTTTGTATCTTCAAAATCCCCCTGTCCACAACTGGTCTTCCACTGAATAATTGACTTTGTGCTGTCCTATTAATAGTATGACTGAGAAATTTTGACACACTGCCTATTTTCTTGCAGAATACAAAAAGAAAAAAAAAAAAGAAAAATTGCTGGGTTCTTTGATTATAGACAAGTGAAATTGGTCAAATTCACTTGGGGTTTGACACACAGAAACCCTCATATAGATAAGGAAATATTTTGTGTACAGTTGGCTGGTCATAAAAGGCTATTGTCATGGACTCCCACTTATTTCTAAATCTGGCTTTTGCTTTTATTATGTCTAAATCAAATGACTAAATTCGTAACGGAGTGTCAACATGGTGATCCTTGGCAATAGCAGGATTTTTTACTAAGCTACTTCAGAATGCTCAAACTCTAAGTTGAAAGTGAAGAAAACAGTTCAATACCAAAAGGCACAAACTGAAATATCTGCATTTCATTTTGAAGCCTGATAAAGATTATAGTCTTTGATGATTACTGTTCTTTGTGGGTGCCAGTGTGTTTCAACACCAGAGGCATAGATCTCTAAATTCAAATGGGCTCCTCTAAGCAGTATGTAAGAGTTTCTAGTGATAAACCAACAGGTCTAGCCTAGTCAAGTTTCCCTTTCTGAATGTTTTGTGTCAATGTTATGCTCTTTTTTTTTCCTTTGAAGAAATATAGTTCAATAAAATTTTAATAAGATTGGGATCTGGAGAGATGGCTCACTGGTTAAGAGCACTAGCTGCTCTTACAGAGGACCTGGGTTCAATTCCCAGCACCCACATGGTGGCTTTCAACCATCCATAACTGCAGTTCCAGAGGAATCCAGCACTCTTTTCTGAGCTCTGCAGGCATTGCATGACACAGGTGCACTTACATGCATGTAGACAATACACTCAATATACTCATACACATAAAATAATAAAAATATTAAAGTATTTTTAATTTAACAAAGTTATATTGATATAACATAGTCATAACAGGAAGCCTAAGAGAAAATTTTCTAATGGAGACTATAAAAAAATCCAAAACTAAGGTTCCAATGCAACTAATATCAGTGAAAGCTTCAGTGTCTTCTAACCCCTAACTTAGATAATTGACTTTTTAAGAATCATTATAAATGAAGCTGATCTCATCACAATCAACAGATAACACCCACAGGCAAACTGTAGGAAGAACTCCACTCCGTGAAACAATGCACATACTTTTCCTTTTTATTCTCTTTTAATTGAATTTTTATGAATTTCAGATAATATATTTTGATCGTATTTAAATCTCCTCTTTATCTGCATACCCCTTAATATTCCGTTCTGAATTTTATGTACTCTGTTATATATATAAGGGCCTTATAGGGTCCACTTTGTGTCCCTAAGAGTCCTTCAGTGTGGGTCCATCCACTGGAGCCTAGTTAACCTACCAAAAGTCGCGTGCTTAATAAGAGACTGATTCTCCCCTTCCCAATAGCCATCAGTTTCCAGTAAGGATGGAGTTTACCCACTTCCCCACATCTATGCTGGGATTGTGTCTGGGTTGAGCTTAGGTGAGACTTGTGCATGCTGTCATCATTGCTGTGAGTTTATATCAGTAACTGCCCAGGTGTCTGGAAAATTGTTTCCTTGTGGTCATCTAGTACCTTTGGTTCTTAGAATCTTTTCACCCCTCTCTTTTTAAATGATCTCTGAACCTTGGGAGGCAGAAGTTTGATATAGGTGTCCTATTTGGGGATAAGCACTCTGCAGACTCTTAGTCTCTGCACATTGGCCATTTTGAAAGCATAACTACATATTTCCCATACTCATGTTATATAATAGTTCATCCTAAACATCAGAAGAATGAATGAATGTTTTTTGAAAATGTATTCTGATACCTTACAATTTCAAGAGGCCCCTACCAAGCAGTTGAATATTACCATAGATGTAAAGATATTGCTTGAGAAAAATGCCACAAGGCTTTAGAGACATGTGATGAAACCTCAATAAGTCCTCTTTCTTTGGTCTTCAGAGATACAAAAGCATCAAGAATCCCCAATTTACAAAGATTTGCCATATTTCTATAGGTTCTTTTAAGCAATTATTCTAAATCAAAATCCCCAGTGGGATACAATGACCTTAGAGGATCAAGATGCACTACCATTTCTCCAAAATACATATGGTTGACACCAAGTTGCCCATGACAATGAACCAAATCTCTTAGGTGCAGAAGGGCCAAAAGGCATACAGTCTACTTTCTTTCCAGGTCAAAGACAGCAGCAAACACTCAGCCATGGTTAAGAACTGGCTAAGGAACACTGGATAGCTAATCAGTATAGAAGAACCCCCTACATTTGAAAGTCAGAGAGAGGCAAGGTAGAGATGGAGAAGATGATTCTAAAGGGTGGATATGGAACAAATCAGCAAGTCAGCAAATCCTAGCATTTCAAGTTAGTTAGCATTAGAGGAAATGGCATGGTCAAAACCCTGCCTCAATGTCATCAGACCAATGTCAGTGTCATATTGGCGTCTGTACAAGAATCTACTAATGGTTTTGCTATTGCTATATGTTAATCAAAATGGGAAAGTCTTAGAGCTAGTTATAAAACACTCAACTCCTGACTCATTTCATCATCAAAGTTACCAGTGATGAAATTTTTCAAGTGAAAGCAGTCTTCGCATGGATGATTGGCTCCAAGTCCCCATGCGGATACCCAGATCCTCAGGTGTCATATATGTCTCCTTCCATATACTTTAAATATTTAATTATTACTTTTAATATCTAATACAATATAAAATCTATGAAAACATTGGTTACAGGATATTATTCAGGGAATAATGAGATAAGGAAAAGTTCTGTACATGGTCAATGCAGATGTAATTGTTTTCAACTCAAGGCGATAGAATCTGAAGGTACAGGGGCTAACTGCATACTGCCTGTACACACACTATCCTAGTTTGCTTTCTGCTGCTTTGATAAACACCATGAGCAAAAGAAACATAGGGGAGAAAACTTTGTCTCAGCTTATACAGTTCATCACTGAGGGAAGTCCGGCCAGGAACACTAGGAGGAACTGAAGCAGAAAGCCTGGAGGAACACTGTGTACTGACTTGCTCAGTGGTTCACATTCACCTAGCTTTCTTATATAACCCTGCCCAGGGATGGTGCCACCTACTGCAGGCTGGGCTGTCTCACATCAGTCATCAGTCAAGACAGCCTCACATAGACATGGCCACAAGACCTCAACTGATACTTCCTCAGATGACTAAGCCATGTCACATCAACAGCTAAAGCTAACTGGGGACCATTCCACCCTAAAACTTTTTTGGACAAGTGACTTTTTACCATGAAAATTAATAAAGAATAGTTTCATTTCAAGTTAATTTGCTTTAGTAGAAATAAAAGAGTAAATGCTCAAAGTTTTAAAAAGAATTCAATAGGGTATTTTCATTGTTTTAAGAGGTTTTGTTATACCAATTACAAAAATCCCTCTAATTTCTAAAGTAGACATAGGTAAAGAAGAAATGTATTAGCATGTGAAACAATCCATATAATGGTAGTGTAAGGATGTCATTATCTTGGAACATATGGGGAAACTGTGTAGGCTAAAAATTCTAAGATTCTTTTCGTGTCTGGTTAGAGGGATAATAGAGTTAATAGCATACAGTCTCTAATGCTCTGTCTTATATAATCATTCTGCAAGGCTAATCATCATAAATACAAGATTTTATTTTAGCAAGGCATTTAAAGCCTTTCTCCTCTCAAAGGTGGTGGACGAGTGAAAATTGAGAGTGTAAAACTGGATTTCAAAGAAAAGGCCCAGGCTAAAGTCGGCTCCCTTGACAATGCTCACCACGTACCTGGAGGTGGTAATGTCAAGGTAAGAAACAAGGTCATGAACCAATCTTGTATTTTTGAAAAAACAATTCTTCAGAAATATTCTTGATTGAAACCTACCTTAGATTAAAGGTCTTGTCAAACAGGAAGGAGGGTTACAGAGCTGAAAAGAAATCACATTCATGTTGGCTCTGGGATACAGGGAAATAACTAGGAGCTGATGAAGACACTTGAGCTAATGAAGACTAATGCTTCTCTTAAACAGATTGACAGCCAAAAGTTGAACTTCAGAGAGCACGCAAAGGCCCGTGTAGACCATGGGGCTGAGATCATTACACAGTCCCCAAGCAGATCCAGCGTGGCATCACCCCGGCGACTCAGCAACGTCTCCTCTTCTGGAAGCATCAACCTGCTCGAATCTCCTCAGCTTGCCACTTTGGCTGAGGATGTCACTGCTGCGCTGGCTAAGCAGGGCTTGTGAATACTTCTCCCTTAGCACTGGAGTAATATTAGGCATGAGCTCTTGGCGGGAGTGGGCTCTGAACAGGTGTCATATTCATTCTTTACAACTATAGATAAATAATCTCATGCCCAAACTGTAGTAATTGTTACAATTTTATAATAAAATGAATAGTATATGGAGAAATTGACCTGATTTCCATCTGCAACAGGAACACATGGCTTTACATGGGTACAATTGGACAATTATTTTCGCTCTGCTCTGTTTTGCATGGAGTATTATGTTTTTTTAAAATTGCATTTTTACCTTTCATGTGCCTGAAGGCTATCCAATACATTCTGAAAGGCCTTGTTAAAAATCCAAGATGTTCATTTCACTCTTCTGTTTCTGGTTGGAAAAATAAAAACTGCCCATTTTCACTTATTACAGGTTCAGTGAAATCAAAGAGTCTGATTGCAGGAAGGGAAGCGCATGTAGGAAACACATTTTTAGAAGTGTTATTTTATATAAATGGAAAGAAAGTTGCAACTAAGTTATTAACATTTGGGACCTGGATGATTATACCAGAGTATGTCAATCCGATAAATTATTTAACTAACTAAAAACTAGATTCAAAGCATTTGACCTGTGCTTGAGGAAGTGGTGTCAGAATGTGTCTCCTAGGAATGATGCATTTCTGTCAGGATGGACATGTGTCTGATTAGAGTGTCAGTTGATTGGGTAGATTTATGTCCACACAACCAGTTTCATACCCCCTTCTGTCTGTTTGATACAGTATTATAGATATAAATATATATATATATTTCTCTGTGGCCATTTGTGATATTTCCTCATATACTTGAATATTTTACTTCTTTATTCACAGTATCTGTGTCTCCTGAACCTTTGGTGTTGCAGTTTTAAGTATGTGACAGTAGATGTTAGCAGGGTTCTCTCCCTATTTAAAAAAAAAAATACATTAAAAAAGATTTAGCATGAAATTGCTTTCCGTAACAACTCAAAGCTGTAACCCTGTTTTAGTGCCAGAAACATGTCTCTCCCGTGATGCTAGAAAATTTTATTTTTCTTTGCTTTCACCACCATGGAGTTTGTGGGGGTGGGTCCAGTTATACATAAAAAGGGTTTACAGACTGTTGGTTTAAAGAGTATAGACTTATCTCTTGTTTAATCACTGAGTAGTTTGGATTTTATTTCTTTAATCATTCGTGAAACTGACTTCTTAAGATTTTTTTCCTTCTGTTTCATTTCTTTTTCCATTTGCTAAAGTTGAAAATAACACTAGTAATTTCGGACATGTTTTTCCATTCCTCCAAACAGTACCTAGTTCATTAAATTCACTGATAGAAGATATTTGACTTTCTTACCCAAAGTAAAGATCCCTTGAGCAGAAAGAAAAAAAATGCAACATATTAAGAAGCCCAGATATAAAAACATTGAGACACAGATATCTAAATCAGTTTTTCTTTCTATGATTCCAGCATCACAGTCTGTACAGAAACATGGTGTGACTTATTTAGCAGTAGATAACATTTGTTCTCACTTTATGTACAGTCTATGAATCACAAATCAGTTAATTCCATTTACAAATCAATGACCCAAATAGAACAAAGCATTACCAAACTGGATGGACATATTTCAGTATTTTATTTGTTCTTTTTCTTGCTCAGGGCTGGTAGGCTGACTCTGAAAAATTAAAGACAAAATGTTGGCTATGTCTTTGATGTCTGTGAGCCAAATCAAGTCCTGCACATGAAGGGCAAGATGATGAGCAGGAACTGAACAGGGAGGTGTAGGAGCATCTAAGACAAAAGGCCAGATGATGCAAGGGCAGAGAGACGTCGGTGGCATTTGGGTGATCCATTCAACATGGGTCAGTGTGATGGCCACAGGGAAAACCCAGCATCAAACCAAACCATTCTCAGCTAAGGGGATGACATAGGAAAAGATGCTTTCATTTATAAACCAGATAGTTTTGAGAAAAAAAAAAAAACTTTAAAACTACTGAGTAATGTCTATTTTTCACTTTGGACAATTCATTCATTACCTTATCTTGAAATGCACAAGAAATGGAAAAAGGAACAATTGTGTGTGGAGACATACAGTATTATCTTACATGTTTTGACTGTGGTTGATAGAGGTTAAAGTTATCTAGAAAAAGGGAAGCTAATAGGCAGTTAGGTTCTAACCTGTGAGGAAAATAATTTCAACCTAGTTTATTATAAAATTTAAGACTAAGAGAATATGTTCTAAGCGTGAAAATTCAATTTCTGATAAATATGTGTTGAAAATAAATTATATAAGGCCCAAAGTTAATATATTTGGCATTAAAATATTTATTTCTAGTAACAATAAAATTATCATGAATCTAAGTCCTCATTTTATATGAAATGTGAGTCTGTGTAAAGTTTATGAAAGGAAACTGAAATTTTGTGCCAGACAGAAACACACAAGCTAAAAACGCCTTCTTATGGGGATGTGGGATGGAGCCATCTTACCTCTACTCTTAAGATAACGACTCAAATTAAGCTTTTTGGACACCACTTCTGTGGGGACACACACGCTGATCTAGAAATGAAAGCTTCATAGTTCCATTTCTAGATCTACTAATGCCAGTTTCTCTCTGGCTTTAGCCTTTGAGAACCTGTTTAAGAATACACAAGTAATCCAGAGCTCTGAAGAGTACAAAGGCCAACTTCTCCAGTGAACTCACTCTCTCTGGGTCTCCTGCACCTGAAAATTGGGTACCTTATAACACTGCAGGAAAGATCCGAGTTTATGATGAGTTTCAAAGGCCATGTTCGTTTAGGAACTAACTCTCTCTGGATCCACCTGCTGAGTTCCAGCAGGGTAATGGGCCAGAATCCCACCCATAGGAAGGATGCCTGTGTAACTACAGCTCAGTTTGGCTAAAGGTGGCTGAAGGAAGAGTTTCGTTAAATAGAAGCATAGACTGATGTAGCTGGGCTTCTCCACACTTGCTCATACAGAAATACGGTAGAAAGGTATTATCATCAGTCCAAAAGGGACATCATGTCAGTATTATTAAAGATGGTTGACTCAAACTAGCTTCCATTTATAGTTTTTCTCTTATTTTTCATGCCACAGGAGGAAAGTAAACAGTGGTAGATGTAGCAAAGACAAAGTAGGTTCTTGACAAGGGAAGGCTAAATCAGCACTGATGTTTGTATTTTTACACCTAATTTTTAACTTGGATGTGTAGGTTAAGGCCAAGTCCCTCTGCAAGAAAAAGTTTTTTTTCAAGCTCCAAAAATTCCAATCACAAAAATCCACTTCAACTTTAGCAAAAAGAAAATAAAATCAACAAAAATAGTATACTCAACTTGGATGTGTAGGTTAAGGCCAAGTCCCTCTGCAAGAAAAAGTTTTTTTTCAAGCTCCAAAAATTCCAATCACAAAAATCCACTTCAACTTTAGCAAAAAGAAGATAAAATCAACAAAAAAGTATACTCTGTATGCTGGGTTTCCAATGTTCCAACACACCACTACAAATCTGTGGGGGGAGGGTCTTTCTTCTGATAATTCTAGAGCCTGTTACCATAGGAAGGCATTTCTTCAATGGCTGGTTGTAGTTAGTTCATGTTTTTCAATCAAATTTGCAAATGTATTTGTTGCTGTATAGTGATTGTTTTGCAAAATAAAATTGCTTGTCACCTAACTACAAGTTTCAGATTTTTAAATAATTGTTTCTGCCGGACATGGTGGCATACACCTTTAATCCCAGGAGGCAGAGGGAGGCAGATCTCTGAGAGTCCAAGTCCGGCCTGGTCTACATAGTGAGTTCCAGGAGGACAACTGGGGCTACAGGGATCCCCTGTCTCAAAAAGACAAAAAAAAAAATGTTTCTTCATATCTGGAAAAAAAATAGTTTTTCCTCTCTGGAAAAACTTAGTTTCTCTCTCTCTCTCTCTCTCTCTCTCTCTCTCTCTCTCTCTCTTATTTCATGTGTATGGGTATTTTGCCTGCCTATATGCACCCATGCATGTAATGTCAGCAGAAACAAGAGGAGGGTATTGGATTCCCTGGAGTTACATAACAGTTGTCAGCCGCCATGTGGGTGCTGGGAACTGAAAATCAAAAATTAGGGGGGAGCTGCAATTATCTACTGAATTCCTATTATGTCTCAGGCTTTATGGCATGTAATTTTATATTACCTCATCTAACTGATAAACCAATTGTTTTCTGTTTTCCAGTGTTGAGTATCAATCCCAGGGAAGTGTGCATACTAGACAAGCTGGAATCCTCAATGGAAATCCGATTTTTTTATTATTATATTGATGAAACAGGAGAGCAGGATGGAGAGTGGGGCCCATTAGACCTTGTGCAATACCTTACACAATTAGTATAGAAAAAACTTGGCAAAGAACTCTGACCCACATCCTAACACTGGCTCACTGGGATGGCTCAAGTGCAGCAGCATTCCAGAGTGTTCCAGCATAACCTATGGCTCTATAATAATTTAAAAAAAAATACATATCCCTGGATAGAGATTTAAGATGCAGGGGCACTCAACTCAGCACATGAACTTCTATGTGGAGCTACATGTAACAGAAAAAGCATTGCCCACGCAGTGCAAATAAATCAAAAAGCCTTTACTAAGATAACTTCTGTCCCGATTCTGTGTTCTAATGCCCTTGGGTTGCTAAACTTTCTCCCAGTTCCTGCCTGCTTCCTCCCCGGAAGTTTACCCTTTCTTAAATATTCTCACTTTGCTCACCACTGAACCCCAATATTGACTGATGTCATTAGCAGGGCACTGTGTGCTGCCAATACTAGAAACTCGGGGCTTGATTTATTGATTCAGTTAACTAATTAGAGGACTGTATCTGACTGTTGCATTTCTTTCCCTGAGGAGGTGCAAGAGTATGTCTAATTAATGCCAGATGGACGTCATCGACAGGCAAAAGCACAATTTTCTAAAGCCCAACTTGAGCTTTCTTATAAAGATCAGGGTCACTTACAGGAGTGTGGGTGACCCCCCTAAACAGCTGCATCACTACAAAGTTCCACCCCTCATGAATGGCGAGCCCAGGGGGGTGGCATCATGGAGTCCTTTCTTCTTCTACACTCCAGCATCACTCAGGATCACTCTGTAGCAGTTACTGTTCTGTTGCTGTCATAAGACAACATGACTAAGGCAACCTATAGAAGGAAGAGAATTCCGCTTATGGTTCCAAAGGGGTAAGAAGAGCCAATAATGGTGGGGAAGTACGATAGGCAGCAGGAGGTGGCCAGAGCGGAAAGCCCAGGGATGACATCTTCAAGCAGGCATGGGAAGGAGAGAGCAACTGGAAAATCTGGCAAGGCTTAAGAACTTTCAAAACCTGCCCCCAGTGACTTGCTTTTTCATCTGGCATGGCCACATCTCCTTAAGCCTCCCAAAATAGCACCACCAACTGGAGACAAATTGTCCAAAAACCTGGAGCTTATAGGTACATTCTCATTCAAACCGTTACATACTTGAAGCTGGTGGAGGGAGTAACAATCCTAAGTAAGGGTCTCCTGACCATCTAGGGAGGGTCAAAAGCTCCACTACCAATCATAAACCTGGATACCACTGCTCTACTTGCCCTGGCTAAAGGGCAAAGTCCATGAACAGACTGGCATCCTATTGTAAACTGATGAAACAGAGTCATACAACACCATCTCAGGTATAGCTGTAGCCACACATTCAAAGGATATGTTCAAGAACCTCTTTTCTGATCTCTGGATCCAGTTACTCAAAAGACTCACCAGGAAATTTTCTTTTTCAACTTTTATCTCTGCTTCCTTTGTGTTCTCTTTCATCTCAGACAGGCAGCCTTCCATGCTAGTTAACAGGAACTCCAGACTACCAATGGAAGTCATCCTGATAATACTGGCCAAAATCCACCCTCTGAAAATCATGGAATTTTTGGATCACCTGTGCAGTTATGCTGTCATAGGTAGTTGGGATAGGAAGAAAGTGGGGTTGGAGCAAATACCCTCATCTTGAGGGACTAAATGCCTGACAGGCAAATAGGACCACAGATAAGTAACAAAGATGGTAAATGTCCCACTTATTGAGACCAAGATCCAGGATCTTTTTCTCCTGGAGGCAAGGTAGGGCCCCTCTTCAGGCTGACCAGTCTATACTTGTTTAGCCAAGGCCAGTCCTGGACATATCTCAGCTTGGAACTATGACTTATCAGTTCTCTCTTCTTTAAATTGACCAATCCAAAATTAGGGGAGGGGGACCCCTAGGGGCTTGTGATTTTTCCTTTTCTGAACCCCCTTCTCCAGTGGTGGAGAGTTTTTTCTCTGTGTGTTTTTGTACCTTTAATAAAGTTTGTTACCTGTTGTATCTCAGATTCTTCCCACCTTTAATTCTTTAATTGGCAGATAAAATGAATCTCATCAAGACCCTCTAGGGTAGCATGCTGAGCTCCAAGACTTACCATAGACATGCAATGTGTCACCATAGTGAAGCTCAGCTGTCCTTATCAGAAGAGAGGAGAACTGATCACTTCTGACCACCAAACAATACCCACCTCATCCACACACCCAATCTGTTATCTTTAGTTTCCCGCTAGTTCCTTACTATTCAAATTCAGTTCAGACATCACTTGGGAGATTGTTAAGACATTTTGTATTTTGTACCCCCAATGTAAGAAACAGGACCTTCACTCTAATAAATTCAAGAGTGTAGCAAAAACAAAACAGTTTTTAAAATATGTCATTCTTCACAAAGAGACACCAGCAAAGAGAAATGGTCAAAATGGCTGGTATGCCATTTTAGTGTGTGAGACTGTTTTTTAAAGTCTCTGATCATGAGCAATTCCTGCCCTCTTTTCCCATAGGCCTGTACTCCAGAGAGTTACAATCATGCTCTTCTAGCATAGCCCTCTCTGAAACTGCCCATTCCTATGGTTCAGGATACAAAGCCTTATCTAACGAATATCCTGGGGCTCCAGATTTTCCCCTTTTCTGACTGTGGGCTCAATCACATAGCAAACTCCCTGCAACTTTCTAACTCTCAGTCAGATGAGCAGGCCACAGCACCTACCTAGCACCTACTGCTTATCTGTGGTTCTTTGACGAGTTCTAAGTCCACCTCATACTGAAAATAGACCATAATGATTTACTTCGTATGCCCAACCATATTGTAATATTTCCCTAGAAAATTATTAAATGTCTACATTTGGATTTAAGCAATATTTTAGTTTCTCAAATTCCTGCTACTAAGCCTAAAGAGAAAGAGCACTATTGAGCCCACTCACATCAAAAATCATCCCTAAGACAGCACCATTATCTCTGATGTCAGTTTAGAGCCAAGTGGTAGGATGTTGTAACTAGTAAAAGTACATTTCTACTAGAGGCTTTCAACTCCCAAACATCCTAAATTGACTAAAACTGACTTATCAATGATTTCAGTTTCCCACCACTCCATTACCTCCCTTCAGGTAATAGTGTAGATTTAGTACAATTTTGCCAAAATCAATAAGGTTTCTTTGTTTGTTTTCAGTTCTAGGGATCAATACTAGGTCCCTGAGTACGGAAAGTGCTTTACCACTAAGCTGCCTCTCCAGCCCTAGATTTTTGAGACAGTATCTCACTATGTAGCTTAGACTGACCTTGAACTCTTGATCCTCCTGCCTCAACCTTCAGAGTGCTACCACGCCAACAATATTATTTTTAACTTTAGTTCACATCTTTGTTGTCCTTCAAAGAAGTTTTTAAAATGACGAGCGATTAAGACATTTATTTTCCTAACATCATAGGTCATACTAAAATTCTGATTCCCTTTTTCATTAACAAGGCAAAGATGATTTTGTTTGTGTTGAAAAGAGACAAGTAACTGTAATCTAATGTAGGATGACAGAATAACATTCTACACAACTCACATGGAAAAACACATTCCTCCTTTCATCTAACAGCCAGCCCTTTGGGTGACCCAAATCATTTAGAATACTGTCAAAAGTACATAGTCTTGCAACGTAAAATTGTTTCAAACCACCAAGTACTTTGCGAGTTTTTCTTAAACATGAAGACCTATCAGAGACACACTTCTGAAAGCACTGCCCTTTCCCTCAAGTTGAGGTAATAGACCCATGACTTCCTGGTTTACTTTGTTTGGTGTGCACAGTATTTTCAAACTTAAGTTCAGAGAGAGACAGAGACAGAGAGACAGAGATCTGGATCTTGTAATCTTTCACTCTCTCAATCTGGTCCATGGAAATTTCTGAGTTGGTGTGTGTCCCCTCCATTTGGCTACCTGGTCAGTGTTAGAACACAGACCTGCACCTTTAGGCCTGATGCTGTTATGGAGCCTGGGACTACTGAGGAAAGACCACCAGACTCAATTCAGATTGGGATAAAAGATTTTATTCAAGCTAGCTTGGATTGCAGTCTCCATATCGGATTAGAGTGCTGCGGTGGAGAGGGAGAGGGAAAGGGAACCTTTTAAAGCTAAAAAACCACAAAAGGAATGTTGATAAGGTGGTCCTAGAATAACAGGGTGGAGGGTGGTCACAGTCTACATGTCAAGGTGCCCTAAAATAGCAAAACAAGCAAGTTACAGAAGCCAAAATCAGCAGTTCGTCATATCATAATAATTGTGTTTTCTATATGTCTAGGGAGCAAGTGACCACAGCAGCATTTTCCTGGGAGGTAAGGGGGAAAGGGGTCAGGGCTCCTGAA